ACAAGTTCATTTACATAGGGACTGAGAAAACCCTCCAAAGAGGACTTTGAAGTGGACTGGCAAGAGGACTCTGGAAATTTTTTGGACCTAGAGAGCCCATGAGTCAGCTCCTTTTAACCCAGTTCTTGCGCTTGTAGGTTTACGCATTTTGATAGCATCTAAAGGGTGAAAGGTATGTAGTGAGTAAAAGATAACCCATAACATGGAGTATTCCTTCTTGCATAACAAACTTCTTAATACAGTTTAGATACTGCAAAGCCATGTTTGGTGGAAAAATTAATTTCTTTTAAAAATAAGAGATAAATATTAAAAAATAGCCTTTGCTGGACACATGTGGCAGACACTTAAAAATATATGTGTATATATTATATACATCATATATATATATGTTATATATTATATATATCACAAATTATCTCTTTAATACTTATATAAGGAAAGTGTTAGTCACTCAGTCATGTCCAACTCTTTGAGACCCCATGTCCAGTAGCCCCCTATGCTCCCCTGTCCATGGAATTCTCCAGGCAAGAATGCTGAAGTGGGTATTCCCTTCTCCAGGGGATCTTCCTCACACACAGACTCACAGACCCACCTAAATCTCCTGCACTGACAGGTAGATTCTTCACCATCTGAACCAATAGGGAAGCCCCTGAAAGGAAGCTTAGCAGATGAAGGGTATATGAGGAAGGTGGTACCAAATGCCCATTTTACAGAAGAGTACTCTGTCAAGAGTAATAAAGAGAAATAAATAGAAATAAAACTCAAGAGAAAGGGGATACATGTATACTCATGGCTGATTAAGGGCTTCCCAGGTGGCACTGGCGATAAAGAACACATCTGCCAACGCAGGTTAGACATGAGTTTGGAAGATCCCCGGGAAGAGGGTACACAGCAACCCACTCCAGTATTCTTGCCTGGAAAATCCCTTAGACCTGGGAGCCTGGCAGGCTGCAGTCCACAGTGTTACACAGAGCTGGACAGGACTGCAGTGACTTAGCACACATGTGCACACAGCTGATTTAACTTGTTGTATGGCAGAAACCAACAGAACATCATAAAAAAATTATCCTACAATGGAAAATAAATTTGAAAAGAGATATAAAACATCTTACCAATGCTACTGGCTCCTCTGGGCAGTTGATAATCTGGAACTATCAGCTAAGGAGGATAAATAAAAATGAGCCCCAAAAGAACAGTCTAAAGATCATTAATAAAACATATCAGGGCAAGAATAATCAAAGTATGAAAGGAGAAGGCTGCTGCATCTGAAAAGAAATCCACAGGGGTAGCAGAGAAAACTGGACCAACATCTGGGTTTCCATAGGGAAACTGTAACCAGGCCCAGAGTGAGATGAGTTGGTGTTTACATTCACCAGTTATATTTGTATGAGTTTTCTCATCTCTAAGATGGGAGTAGCAAGTCTTCTCTGCAGTGAAGTGAGATTTAAATGTGATGGTGTGTGGAAAAGACCCCAGTAATTTGCATATTTTTACAAGTTAGATCTTAGAACAATTTAGAATGATCCATCTGTCCAATGAATTAAAAGCCTAGGGGGCCTAACCGTAAGTACCATCAAAAGAACAAATGTTAATGAGACAGTTTGGGATGCAAGGTGAACATGAGAACATTATTGTTTTTAATTAATAGAAACTGAACTAATAGGCACATCATCATGGATCAATAACTAAGCAGATGGTCAATGTAAAACATAATCATTGTTTTTGGTAACTAACCCAAATGCAATGGTTTTAGATTGTTAGAAATGAGTATAAACTAAAGGTCATTTTCTGATAATGAACAGCAGTGCACAAAATTATGAGTCAAAAAGCATGATGTGAGCAGTCTAAGAGGGAAAGATGCAGAGTTCTTCATGGCACAGAGTAAAGTTAGGCCAATGCACCCTTTCTTTGCCTCATTTCTTGCTCCCTCTCTCAAAGTACTTTGTTCCTTTCTTACTTAGGATTTATCACAAATTATAAATAATTTATGTGCATTTGTTTAGTGACTGTCTCCCAACATGCACACAATTGTAGTCTCCAAGAGGACTGCAATTACTGTAATCACATTTGTTTTTTGGAAAAGTGTATATTTGGTGCCAGCCTCAGTGCCTAACACAAAGTATATACTCAATCTGGAAAAAAAAAATCTGCTGAATAAAAGGATAGATGATGCATTGTTGGTTCTCGGTTATCTTTTCTGCTACACCTCAGGGCACAGTGCACAGTCAAGAACATCTCACTGCTTCCATGCTTTGGAAGCTTCCCTGAAGCATTTGTGAGACTGATCTGCCTTCTACCTGTGGGTGTAGCAGGGGAGGGGGGTTGTGCGGTGCTGGCCTCTGAAGCTATTCAGGGAGGAGAAAGCAGCACTCACGGAGATGTTAAAACCCCAGTGCCCTCACTAAGGATGCTCAGGTCAGCCTGCAAGTGTAGGTAACTCTCTCTGTGCTATGTGCTAAGTCCCTTCAGTCATGTTCAACTCTTGACTGTAGCCCACCAGGCTCTTCTGTCCGAGCAATTCTCCCAGAAAGACTACTGGAGTGGGTTGCCATGCCCTCCTCAAGGGGATCTTCCTGACCCAGGGATCGAACCCACGTCTTTTATGGCTCTTGCATTGGCAAGTGCGTTCTCTACCACTAGCACCACCACTCGCTAAGTTTCAGGTTCTCTTTGGTCTTCCTGTTGTCTGGTGGACCCTGCAGACTGTCCTCTCTAAGCAATTATTGATGGCCACTCTTCTGAGGTGGCTGCCCAGTTGGTTAAGACACACACAATAAAGGTTCTCACTCATAAGCCCAGATAGATGAAAGACAAAGACTCTGGGTGAAGTTCAGAAGGTGAATCTGACCTTGAACTCAGGAGCAATGCCCTCCATACCTCTCTTAGTTCACCTGATACATTCAGACCACTTTTCAGGACTCTGATAACTCAAATGCACTCTCTGTTAATCCCTTCCTCCAGGCTTTGGCCCAGGATGTATCTTATATCCTTGCCTTATTTTCTTCTTTCTAACACTGAAACCTGATGGACAATCATAAAAGTTCTGAACACAACTGGGCCAAATGCTTAGCAGCAGGAAAATCAGATCTCTGTTCCTCAAGAGAAACACAAAGGATTGTCTCCCAAAGTACAATCATGATCGCAGTAGTGTGAGATTAGATGACAGCATAAATGTTTATGTTACCTATCAGGGCAGATCAGTGCACCCCATCTGTACCCCAATAGGCCAAGTGACTATAATATACCAAAATAAAATAAAGAAGAAAAGGAAAGGAAGGAAGGAAGAAGGAAGCTAGCCACAAATTCCACTGTGCTTCCTGTATTTTCATTTACCTCTCAGATGAGGGAATAATCACTAGAACCATCATCAGAAGGTAGAAAAGATCAGATTATCTTCAGGGCTAAATGCAAATCTGTATTTCCTGGGGAGCAGACTCATCTGAGGAATATTTTGAAAAAAAGATGAATTAATATCCACACTGTGATTTCTTCTCATTTGCCTGGGGTTTGTATCGATCCACTCTAAAAACTCTTACGGGCATGCCACAAGGTAATGCAAGGCCGGCTGCCCATGGCTCATTAGAAATGATTAGGTAGATTTTCTGACACTATTTGGGGATGAGAACTGAAGCTCTGTTTTCTAAGACACATGCTTGCTTCATCCAAGCCTTTCTCCCTTCGGTTTTGTACTGAGGTTCTGCTTGTTCCGCACTAAGGTTCTGAACTGATTGTATTTGATAAGTTCACCTGAGCTTAACAGCTAGTTTCAAAGCCTGGAAGTAAAAGTGAAAGTGTTAGTTACTCAGCCATGCTGGACTCTGTGTGACCCCGCGGGCTGTAGCCCACCAGGCTTCTCTGTGTATGGGATTCTCCAGACAAGAATACTGGAGTGGGTTTCCATTTCCTTCTCCAGGGGATCTTCCTAACCCAGGGATCAAACCCTGGTCTCCTGAATTATAGGCAGATTCTTCACCACCTGAGCCACCAGGGAAGCCCCCGTTTTAAAGTCCTAGGTTTAAAGCCAAGGAAAATATCATTGAAACACAAATAAGATTAACAGAGATGTAGATCAGGATGATAAAATTTTGAGAGGTCAAAATATACTTGAAACTTCAAGCTGCATGAAGCCTTTGTAATTTTGTAGTCCTGGTTCTTATTAAAAACAAATCAGTCTTGTATTATACACACATCTACCACATATTTACATACATAATTATATTTAATTAAAGGAACTGCTTTCACTAACATTTGTTTGCCCTGATACATCTAATATATTTACTTTTAATTTCACTGATAGTACTGTTTTCCTCCCAAGAAGCATATTTATTTGTAATTATGAAATTATAAGAAATTTTATAGTTCAGTAAACAAAATTATAAAGGCAAAGAGAAACAAACAGGAACTAAGAGTTGAGACATTAGCCCAGAAGGCTAATCTTATCTCTCCTTATGTCATCTCATACCCATTTAACAAGAGTTTTTTTTTGGCTTGGTGATAAGAACACAAGGACTGCTGCAGAAATGATATTCTTAATTTCCCCATATGTGGCAATCACTTCACAAGAAAGCACAGGAACAGAGGTTCCATTTAAAATGTTGCTTCAAACAAAACTTAGCCAACAGAGGCGGACAAAAGGCTCCCTCCTGCCATACGACAACTAGGATGAAAATAGGCCAACACAAACCAGAATGTCAAAGATTAAGTTTAGATTCTCTGGCATTCCTCTTTGAATAATCCTGAGCTAAATTCTCCCTCTTTATGTCAAGGAACACACACTCTCTAGGCATTTCGGTTTGCAGTCTCTCCACCCACTACCTAGATTCTCTTTTTCTGAGATATGTTTAGATGTTGGAGAGAATCACATGATTTTCTCCAGAAATCATATTCAGCCAAATCGAGTTATTTTAAATCATTTACCCACAGCAGATATTGCAGAAACTCTCAGCACGTGCAGCCTGCACTGACCAGACCTCCCCACTCTTTTCGTTTCCCTTCCGCAGATGTGATCTGGGAAAGGAAGCCCAGCACAGCTCAGCGGGACCGCATCAAGCTAATGGGTACCCAGCCTGTGGGCAGAAAGGGTAAGAAGGCTACGCAATAGCATCTTCAGCTCTCAGGCATGGTGTGAGATTTCAGAAACTGCACAGAACTTCTTGGTGATCCATTCAAAGTGGTCTGTGGGTGGTGGTATTTGGGGAGCCTTCCCACCGATCAGCCTACAGAGACACAGAACCGAAGGAACAGCCCCGCCCAGGGAGCAGATGTTGGTGCCTTCCTCTCCCCCAGCTCCCCTGGCATGCTGCATAAATTAAGCCCTCAATAAGTATTTGTTAAAAACCAAGGCTTTTTCAATCATCTAGGGAGCTTGTCCTTCATTATTTTACTCTTTAGGTGACAATGGAATTGGTGTCTTATTCTTTGGCAAAGGAGAAGAAGGCATCCACTTCGATCAGCTCCTTTCCTGGAGTAACCAGAGTGCAGAGACTGCGCAGCTTGACTGCAAGTTCCAGGGGCAGCAAGACTCCAGGGACCTGTGGGCACTTGACCTTGGCCTCCTCAAAGCCTGTGCCCCTGGCCCCTGACTTATGCTAGTTCAGTGGCCTCCTTTCCACCCTCAGGAGCCTTTGTACAATATTCTCTCTTCCAAGAATGTTCTGTCCTAAGTTGTTCCCGCCTATCCTTCAAGTTCCACTGCAAATATCACTTCCTCAGAAAGTTCCCGACCGCCCAGGTAAAGGACACATCCCATCCTCCCATTTTTCTCTCACAAAGTACGTTGTTCCTTTCTTTCCCAGCATTTACCACAAATATCAAATCCATAGTTTTATTTGTTTATTATCTGTTTCCCAACACACACACACAATGGTTTCCTGGAGGACAAGAATTATATTTTTTTAAACAATGCATATCCAGTGCCAGGCTCAGGGCCTATCACAAAATAGCTATACATTACAAATATGTTGAGTAAAAAGATTTGTGTCTGGTGTTATCCTTTCTTCTACACCACCATGCCCAGTTGTCTCCCTTCATTAAAAAGATAATTGATGATACATCATCTCAGCAGCTGATTTTTCTGAATCGGTTTGGCATTGTACAGGGCATAGGTTAATCTGAAGACTCCATTTCTAAATAAAACAACTGGGCAACAGATCGTCAAAGGAGGGGATTAAAGAGAGGATCAAAATACCATTGCATCTGTTACGCTAGGAAATGCTTTCTTCAACGAGGGTAAATAAGGGAGCAGGAGTATTGAGATAATGCAAACGAACATCTGAATACACACTACGGAAAACAGCAAAGGACAAAACTTGGAATTGGGAAATACAAGTTTATAGCTTAGATCACCCCTCAAAAGAAATAATGGTGTCTTTTGGGTACATTAAATGAGGTGACAAATTTTTGCACTCTCAATAGTTTTTTCTCATGGACGGAGTGTCAACTCATTCATCATGAAAGCCTTTCAAGGATTCTCTAGTGCCTTCAGGATGAAGCCCACCTTCCTCTGAAGGATGTGTGTGGCCTTTCACAATCTATTCCCTGCCCTTCCCTTTGAAGTCACATCCTGATACTCATCCACTGGCCCTCATACTTTAAACATACAGAAATACTGGGGGTGCCATCAGCCACAGTCCCCCACAATTCCAAGGCTCTTGTGTGTGTGTGATCTCCAAGTTGGGAGGACCAGTCCCCACCTTGATCACTTGTTCACTTTAGCTCTGTATTAGTTTTGTATTGCTGCTGTAACAAATAAACACAAACTAATGGCTTTTCTGGGGGTCAGAAGCCTGAAATGCATTTCACTAAGCTAAAATCAATGTGTCAGCAAAACTATATTCCTTTCTGAAGGCTTCAGGGAAGAATCTATTTACTTGCCTTTTCCATCTTTGAGAGACTACCTATTTTCCTGGACTTGTGGCCTCCTTCCAGTCGAAGCAAAGAATGGCCAGTTGAGTCTTTCTCACATTGCATCACTTTGACTGACTTTTCTGCTTTATTTTTGCATGTTTAAGGATCCTTGTGATTATACTGGGCCCACTCAGATAAAACAGCATCATTTCCCTATTTCAATGTCAGCTAATTGACAACCTTAATTCCATCTGCAACTGTAATTCTCCTTTGCTATAAATTAATGTTAGTGGTTCAGTCATGTCTGACTGTTTGCAAATCCATGGACTGTAGCCTACCAGGCTCCTCTGACCATGGGATTCTCCAGGCAAGAATACTGGAGTGCGTTGCTATTTCCTTCTCTGGGGAATCTTTCCGAACCAGGGATCAAACCTGGGTATCCTGCATTGCAGGCAAATTTTTTTACCATCTGAGTCACCAGGGAAGCCCCTGTTATATAAATTAATATAGTTACAAGTTACAGGAATTAAGGCGTGGGTATCTTTGGGAGAGCCATTATTCCACCAACCACAAATTTCAAGTACACGTGACCTCCCATGTCATATTCTATGCCATTTCCCTTGGGAGTGACAGAGTTAGATATTCCTCATCTTGTCTTTTATCTCCAATGTACTCTGATACAATAGGGCTTACTATTTTGAATTAAAGTCAAAAATTTATAAATACACCTTCTTCATGAGACTCTTCAGGAGCAGATCCTGAAATGGATCTTGTAAGTGAGCCGGGTCCTGTGCTGTGTGTTTTCCACCATTTGATTTTTACAACAGTACAATGAGATAAGACATTTTATTCATTAAACAGATAACACTAAATGCTATAGCAGTTCATTTCATCACTTGGTCATGCATCTCTTGTAAGTCAGAACTGACATTTGAACTCATGTCTGTCTGGTTCCCATGTGGTCAATTTGTTGCTGCACTGTGCTGTCTCAGCTTGAGGTCCCCAACGGCTCACACCAAGGGCCTAGCACACAACAGATTTTCATGAAAGATTCACGGAATTTAGGGTTTGTTAAATAATCTCCTTCCCCATTGATATGTCACTCTCCACCTTGATGACAAAATTATCTCATTTAATATCATATCTTTATTCTTCACCTCATCTCAGAGAGAGAATTTTTACTAAAATTGAATTATCTTCTCAACTGACAGAATGATTATACTTTGTTTTAATTTTTTAACTGACACAGATCATCACTATCCAAAGACAATGAAAGCTACTTAATATTTAAACTGTACCTTTTCTTGAAATATCAGTTTCCCCAAGCTTATTACCCATTCTTCTGAAGAAAAAGTTTTAAGTCAGTAGCTCCAAGATTTCGGCAGGTTTAAAGCGGACTGATCATCACTGTGGGTGAACAGCTCCCTAAGCATGTCTGGTGATCAGATGGGCTTGGGGATCAGAATTTAAAGAATATTGCATAATAGTTGTAAGTCTACATTGCCTTACTATATAATCCTCATAAAACAATTTCTATAAAAACCACACTTCTAAAACACACACACATCCCAATGTTTGTTGCAGCACTATTTACTATAGCCAGGACATGGGAGCAATCTAGATGTCCATCAACAGATGAATAAAGAAGATAAGGTCCATGGATACAGTGGAATATTACTCAACCATAGAAAGGAATGAATTTGAGTCAGTTGCTGTCAGATAGGTGAACCCAGTGCCTCTTGCACAAGTGAGGTAAATCAGAAAAACAAGTATAATAAAATTAAGGCATATATAGAATCTAGAAAAATGGTACTGATAAACCTGGTAGAGAAAGGACTTGTATCACATCAGGGGAAGGTGAGGGTGAGACAAATTAAGAAATTAGTATTGACACATATACACTATCATGTGTAAAACAGATAGTGGGAAGTTGCTATACAACACAGGGAACCCAGCCTGGAGCTCCATGATGACCTAGAGGGATGATATGGGGAGAGCAGAGAGAAGCTCAAGAAAGAGGGGATATTTATAATTATGACTGATCTGCATTATTGTACAACAGAAACCAACACATTGTAAAGCAATTATCCACCAATTAAAAAATCTAAAACAAATAAACAAACAAAAACTCCGGGCAACCAGAATTTCATATAAGAAACCAATGATTTCTATAAAAATGGAAATTAATGATATGTTTTAAATAAAATTGAATTTATCTGCACTGAAAAAAATTTCTCTGCCCATTTAAGATATTTAAGAATGCTTGATAATAAATGAGTCAAGCACTATAACTTAATTGGTAACACTAAATGTTATAGGTAAAAATGTATAAGAATTTAACTGTGGTAAGGACACTCCTGTACTTGTTATGAGTTTCTGCCTGGTTTATTCCAAGGCATGCCTTTTTATCAATGGAATGCCGTATTTTATGCCAACATTTTTCCTTTCACAACTGTAACACAGGAAAATAAACAAATCAATGTTCCTTTGGTTACTAATGTGCAGTTTCCCTTTTTCTTTTCTTTTGGTTTACATAAAACTGTCATCTTTCCTAAGCACTGTATGGGCTCCAAAAACAAGCCTACTTACCAACACACAGGAGGACCCACATGTTTCCTCAGCTGAAAAAATACATAAAGCCTATCACTTTCTAATTGCACTCCCTATTTTTCTGGTTGTTTGAGGTAACACCTGTGACCTACAACCAACAGTTTGTGACAAGCATCTCTGATGCACAGCACACTCAAATACAAAACAAGCATTGTATACCTTTCCTGTGTGCTGTGGACTCAGGAACACAAATGCTTCTACAACCACAGAAGCAGAGAAAAGCAGTCATGGCAAAACACGTACCATCCTTAATACATCTTTCCAGAATTTACATATGTCCCTTCTGCTCAAATCCCATTGGTCAAGGAAAGTCACATGGCAACACAGAGTAAAGCAGAGGAAACACAGCACATGGCGACGTAAGCAAAGGCAAGGGCTCCAAGCGGAAAGAAGGGCATCTGCAATGTCTCAGAAACGAGAGATAAAGTGGTTTGTTCAGGGGAGTGGGGTTGGCTCGCTAAGGGTTTGAGCACTAGTAGCAGAGAGGAGGATGATATTGGTTAAGACGTGACACCTGAGGACACATAAAACTCCTAAACATTATCTTAAAAGCCATGGAGAATCAGGTAGTGACTGACACTGGAAAATGGCATGATCCAATCTGTATTATGGAGTGATAACTCTGGCTATAGCATAGGGATTTTATTTTTGTGCATCTTGAATCACCAGGAGAATACCCAAGTGGAGAGATCTAGGAAACAGTTGTCCACACAGAACTAGAAGAAATCATTAGCATATAGACTTGAGGAGTTTCAAATGTGTAATTTTGGATCTCCTGTGGCCCCTGACCCAATATATTTACCTGCAAGGGTGCAAAAAAAAAAAATTGAATTTCAAGGTCTTCTGATGGGATGTGTGCTCTTCACTTGGCCCCAATCCCCCCTATTATTTGTTTACACCTTTTGTTAGCTAACTGGCTCCTGAAGGCATTTGAGGTTTGATGTCTGACAAAGTAGGTAGGATGGCATTAGCAAGGATAGTGTACAGAATAAGAAGTGAAGTGGGTTCTAGACAATGGCCAGCACACAGAAGAGAATTGATATTTACCATTAATGAGTAAGGGCCAAGGGCAAAAGCAGAAAACATCAACATTTAAGATGCATTTAAGAGAAAAGAACAGAAGTGC